TGTCCCCCAAAAAGTGTGTGTCAACTTGGCTAGTCTATCGGCCTGAGACCAGAAGAACTAGATGGTGCATGGCTACCACCAATGACCGCCCTGACAGGGAACACAACAGGGAGTCCCTGATAGAGCAGCACAAAGATGGGGTGCAGAACTCAAATTCTAGTAAAAGACCAGACTTAATGGTCTGACTGAGACTGGAGGTACCCTGGAAGGGATGGCCCCTGGACTCTCCATCAGCCCAGAACTAAAACAATTTCCGAGACCAACTCTTCAGACAGGGATTCGACCAGACTGTGGGATATAAAGTGATACTTGTGAAGAGTGTGCCTCTTAGTCAAGTAGATACAAGAGACCAAAGGGGCAGCTTCTGTCCAGAGGTGAGATGCGAAGGCAGAGAGGGTTAGGAGCTGGTTGAATGGACATGGGGAATTGGGTGGAAAGGAGGAGTGTGCTGTCACAGAATGGGGTGAGCAACTAGGGTCACGTAACAATGTATGTATACAATTTTGTACGGGAGACTAACTTGAAATGTAAACTTCATTTAAAAAAACAACTTGGCTAGTCCATGATTCCTAGTGTTGTGTGACTATCTACCATTTTGTCATCTGATGTGATTTTCCTAGTGTTGTAGATCCTACCTCTATGATGTTAATGAGGTGGAATTAGTGGCAGTTATGTTAATCAGGCAGGATTGGATCTACAAGATTAGGTTGTATCTTAAGTCAATCTCTTTTGAGATATAAGAAAGAGAAGAGAGCAGAGAGACATAGGGACCTCATATCACCAAGAAACAAGAGCCAGGAGAATAGTGCATCCTTTGGACCCAGGGGTTCCTGCACTGAGAAGCTCCTCAACCAAGGGAGATTAATGACAAGGACCTTCTTCCAGAGCTGACAGAGACAGAAAGCTTTCCCCTGGAGCTAGCACCCTGAATTCAGACTTCTAGCCTCCTGGACTGTGAGAGAATAAAATTTCTCTTTCTTAAAGCCATCCACTTGTGGTATTTCTGTTACAGCAGCACTAGATAGCTAAGATAGTCGGTATCAGTTGGAATCAACTCAATAGCACCTAACAACGACAACACCAGTGTTCACTGAAGCAATAACCAAAATAACCAAAAGGTGGAAACAACGTAAGTGTCCATCAACATATGAACAAATAAACAAAATGTGGTATAGACATACAATGGAATATTATTCAGCCATAAAGGTAAATGAAGTCCTTGCATATGCTACATACAGTATGGATGAACCTAGAAAATATTATGCTGTGAAATAAGTCAAACACAAAAGGACAAATACCGTATGGCCCCACTTATATGAAATATTTGGACTAGGCAAACGCATAGAGATCAAAGCTTATTGGTGGTTACCAAGGCTAGGTGGGAGGAGGGACACAGGAAATTACTGCTTAAAAGGTACTAAGTTTCTGTTAAGGGTAATAGAAATTTTTGGAAATTAAAAAAAAAAAAAAAAACACTGTTCTACATAAAATGAATGTTTAAAAAGATAAATTGTTTTCCTTAGCAAACAATAAAATGTCACTTAAAAAACTAAAAACGTTTTTCTTTGACCTGAGCCCTAAATACACTGCTGTACCACCTTTTAGAGTACAACTGAGCAATCTACAGCAAAATCCTTTAAGTTTATGTTCCTATCTAGGAACAATCCACACTTATAAGCATTATCGGGAAAAAGACTCATATACAGAGATGCTTCCTCAGAACAATATACATGTCCAACAATAGGGATGAGTTATAGCCATAAAACAGGCTATCAAGAATCACTATTAAAAAAAAAAGTCCTGTTTAAAAGGTATTAATGGCATGGGGAAGTGTTCACAATATTGCAGAACATTAACTCTTCAGTATTTTCCAAATTTTCTACAATAAGGATAGGCTTTAAAAAAAAAAAAGTTATTAAAAAAATTTTGCCTGTTTCCCAAACTGAAGCCCCTACTAGTTTCAGACTCAAATGTTTTTAAATGATCTGAGGTTAGAAACTGTCACAATGATAAAGAAGAAAAACTGATCTTGAAGAGTGAGCCAGCAAGAGAGAGAGAGAGAGAAAAAAAAAAGGACATTCTGGAAAGATTTCAGGATTAGTTGTGGTGAGGGAAAGAGGAACTCAAAGATGTGCAGATGATGTGCAGAAGCCTCCCTATCTCTCTGTTAGACCTTCGGGCCTTGAATCTGACAGCTATGTCAACTGCTCCAATTAGGTTAATTCCTTTATCTATAAAGTTATTTGCCAACTCTCCTTTGAGACTAGAAGCCGCCTTTCTCCCATTACAAATCTCCCGAATGCTTCACAGTAAAAATTGTCTAACATGGGAGAAATATCATCCCATTTGCTTGCATCATAAGGCTAGTGGGCAGGAATTCAAAGTGGAAGGTTCATTATGTGTATTTGAAAATCTAGAAAACGCCAGAGAGAGCACATCTGGAGAACTATACATGGTTCATTAAATTGGATTATAGCATGCGTGCAGTGGAGACAAACTTGGAGAGGCGGGCAGGAGCCTTGTACGTTCTGCTAGGAAGTTTGTATTTCATCCTTCGGATACTAGAAAGCCACTCAGATTTAAGCATCAAGGTGACATAATTAGATGTGTTATGGGAAATTATTTTATATATAGTGTGATCTAATTTTTCCACAAGGTTTCATTATAAAAATTTGCACACACATTAAAATGTTGAAAGAATTTTAAAATGACTGTCTGTATACCAGCATGTATATCCTACCATTAACATTTTATACTTGCTTTATATCTATCCATATATCCATCCCTCTATATGATCTCATTTTTTACCAATGAAAAAATGCGTATTAGAAAAAGGTTAATTAAAGATAGGTTAATTAATAACAGGATAGCAGGAAAGATTCAAATGGTAACAGTGATTATATCTGGGTGGAGATACTGTGGGTGATTTGTATTTTTAAAATCTCTTACAATAAACATGTATTATTTTTACAGTAAGGAAAAAAATTAAGCAAAGAGAAAATATGGGAGGATATTAGCATAATTCAAGAGATAGATAAGCACTGGAGTAGAGAAGAAAATAAGCTGATAGATTTAAGAGATATTCTAGAAAATATATCAACCCAGTTTCATAATCTACTACATATAAAGGCTAGGGAGTCTGAAGAGCCTAAGATGAGACACTTTTCTGGCTTGGCACCTGGGTGGAGGTCAATGGGAGGGAGGGGTGCACTCTGGAAGGGAGATAATGAGTTTGAATATACTGACTTTGGGTGGAATGTTTAGGGGTTAATGCTCATCAAGTCTCAACATCAACAAAACTGTTAACAACTACTGCGTATTTTCGACATGGCAGCCACTACACATTATCCCACTTAACCTTCCCAGTGACCCTCTGAGGTATATACAACTATCATTAATGCTACAGATGACGAAACAAAGGTTAAATAATTTGCCCGAGATCACAGTGCTAATAAATGGTAGGGCCAGAATTCCAATTAAAATATCTAATATCACAGCCCATGCTCTTAAACCTTACTATACTGTGGAGGGAGTTATCAGCTTGAGTACACTGGACACCGAAGCAGAGTACCTGAAAGAAGAGATGGGAGGCTCCCAAAAGAAAGCCAAATCCTGGCTCCCAACAACCAAATCTAGTGTCGGTTACAGTCATGGGAAGAATTCCCATACAGGTAACATGATGCAGCCTCTGCCCTTAAGGAGTTCACACTCTTTGGGGAGACAAATGACAGGGAATCTAGAAGCTTCTGAACCCCTCCTGGGTAACCTGACCTGCAAATATGCTTCATTACTGATTTAGTAGTTTCCCTTCTAGTTACTTCTATTGCCTTGCTAAGAATTTAAAGAAAAAATATTTATGTTTTCTTAGTTTTGTAAGCAGCAGTTCTAAAGCATGGGCTTTGAAATCAGATAGATCTGGATTCAAATCTAGGCTCCATCGAATCTAGATATCCTCATCCGTGAAATGAGGCTAATAATACAAACCTACTACTGTTCTGAGAATAACATGAGATAACATATGAAGTACTTAGTATAGTGACTATTATTTTTATTTGGGAATCTGAAATAGGATTTAAAATTTTTATATATGGGTACCCAGTGAAGCTAGTTATACTCTGAGACTGCTTTCTAGGTTGCTATGGGCACCCAGGGAGCTGTGATGGCACAGTGGTTAAGAGCTCAGCTGATAACCAAAAGGTTGATGGTTCGAATCCACCAGCCACTCCTCGGCAATCCTGTAGGGCAGTTCTACTGTGTTCTATAGGGTTGCTATGAATCGGAATCAACTTGATGGCAATGGGTTTTTGGTATGGGCACCCAGAAAACATTTGTGTACCTGTATGTTATCTTCTCCACACTCATTTATCCAAATCTTTTTTTTCTGGTAGTTCTAACCACTGAGAAATAAATTCACCCAATCCTGTGCAGCTTTTATCAACAAGAAATTTAATGCTATACAGTTACACAGAAAATAATAATTGTTCCTAATACTTTGGAGAGCACATCAACTTTTCCAAAACACTTTCACAACCATTATCTTCATGAACCCCACAAAAACCTTGAGGCTAACATGCTATCACACATGCTTTTTGGAACAAGACAGAATATGAATAATAAATGTATGCCAGTATCTCCACTTTCTAGATCAGGAAGTGAAGATACAGGGGAAATGACTTATCCAAGCTAGGGAAAAAGTCAAGATTGAAAACATGGTCTCCTGGCCTCTGACCAATGTTCTTTCTGGGCTATCACCGATCATATTGGGAGCCCTGGTGGCACAGTGGTTATGAGCTTGGCTGCTAACCAAAAGGTCGGCAGTTCAAATCCACCAGCTGCTCCTTGGAAATCCTATGGGGCAGTTCTATTCTGTCCTAAGGGTCACTATGAGTCGGAATCAACTTGATGGCAACGGGTACCAATCATCTTACTATCCCTCTTCAACCTTCTGCCTCTCTCCCTCTTCACCACACCAAAGCTCCCTATAAAAGGGCTAAATTTACCAGATACTGCCAGAGTATCGCTGATCCATGCAATGGAAAAGATCCAGTCCTTGTGTCCATCCTTGGAGAGGAGGGAGTGATGGGTACCGGGGTGGGGAGGGGGGAGGGAAGAAAAGAAATTAGTGAAATATGCGTTGCAATACACTTTCCTAAAAAATATACAGGTCTGACTTAACATATCTTTGTGAAAATTACAACTCTGGTGATCTCAACCCAAAGGGCTTGATCTGGAAGTGAAGATACAGGGGAAATGACCATCCAAGGTCACATAGTAAGTCAAGGAAAAAGATGACCAGGCAATCTTTAGCTTCTGTCTTGAGGAGCTCAAAGCTGGAATGAAATTAGCACTCCTCCAAATAATAAATGTGTCTAGTGGACACACAGCTCTAGACTTCTACATGTGGGTGTCTTATTTGGAGCTCCTAGATACAATCACCAAGCCCCTCACCCCTCTGACCTCATGTCCTATCAGTCTCCCCCTTGCTCCCTAGGACTATGGCTATAACCAGCTTCTTTGCTGTTCCCTCTGTTCGGAACTCTCTCCCCCACACATCTCATTTCCTTTAAGTCTCTCTGCCCAAATGTCATCTTATCAGTGAAGTCTTCCCCAACTACCCTCTGAAATAGCATCCTCCATCAGCACTCCCTATCCCTTTAACCTACTTTACTTTCTCTGAGGCACTTATCACCTTCTGACATACCAACCCATTGTCACTGGCCCCTTTATCAAACATATATTCTCTGTCAACATACCTGGTACTCCCTACAAGGAGTCTGGTCCCCCTTTTGATACCTCTATACCCGCACTTCATTCCCATGCCCCTGGAATCAGCAGAAATCTAAAGCATACCACCCCTTCCCAGGAGGGCTTGTGAGAGGAGAGCCCATGCTACAGGGGCCCTGTTTATAAAAACAAGGCCACCTCTAAACATAACTACTGGGCAAACTTACATCTCCCACGCATACAGGATCTAGTGTAGGCAGCCGGTAGATGGCAAGACTGTTGGGGTTGTCTCCTCCAGTGGCTAACAGCGTTCTAGAGGGATTCAGCTCGATGGCATGGATACCACAGCCCTGCTGCGTCACCCCTCCAGGCTCCCGGTCTTTCAGAATGGGAATCTTGGTGATCTGGCTTGTCTGGACATCCACTACAAATAGCTACAAAACAAAAGGGATAGAGAGGCTGAACAAAGTTTTTATTTAATGTGGCTGACCCTAGGTATAAACATCATTCACTCAACTATCCATTAAACATTTATTGAATGCCTACTCATGCTAGACCCTGGAATTATTAAAGGCATGGTCAGGACTACTAGTCAAATGAAACATGAAAATAAGTAAACATAGCATAAGGTTCGAAAGTAGGTATAATACGCTATGTGAATGGATTAGAAAGCAATAAATTCTGCCTGGAGATTCCCCGATGCCTTCAAAGAGGTCTTGCTTTCGGTTATGGACCCAAACAGCCTGGAGTAAAAGTTTTCTGTCTTTTTGGACATATTTTATATATCTAAACTGCATGCACTATTGTTGTTGTGCACTGTCAAGTTGATTTTCTACTCATAGCGACCCCAGTAAACTGTGACTTGCAACCTAGAAAGATCTGAGTTTCTTCCATGGAGTTTGAGGGCTGGCTAAAATCTTAATACTTCTTTTAGTCTAGTCCTTTGCCTTAAGTTAGGGCTCCATTTCTACCATTCAGATAGGTGAGGAGAAAAGGTTTCACCTATTCACGTCCAGGAAATTCCAGCTTCAGAGCTGGACAGATTTAGGGTTGAATTCCAGATCGGCACCCTGTTAGCTGTGTCATCTTGAGCAAGTTACTTAATCTTTCTGAATCTTGTTTCTCATCTGTAAAAGCTGGGTAATATTGTCCACCTCACAGGGTTGCTAACAGAGCTAATAAAATAGGGTTTGCAAAATGCCTAGCACAGGGCTTGGCATAAAATAGGTGCTTAACAAACCATAGCTAGTAGTATTGTTACTATTCTGATGTTTGGTTAGTTTTGCAGGGTGTAAGAAAGGCTACGCACTGGATGAAAAACACCAAGATATAAAAGAGATGGAAAAGCTAAGTAAAGGGGTCTGTAGAGAAACCAAGAGTTTACCCCTAACCTCACCCTCATCCCTGCAGAAGAATAAGTCACCCTTAAAGGACAGGGCCTTTCTGTTTCTTCCTGGGAAACGACAGGGATATGGATGAGCTGCCACAGAATCTCTCCCCAGGTCCTCTGACAAGGGGCCAAGGCTTCATGCAGCTACTATAACACTTCCCAGAGTGGGGCTGCTCCACATTAACCTACTGGGATCCCTGCCAATAACTAGTAGCATGGCAAGGTAAGCTTGAGGCTGAACGGCTTCCTGTAGCCACATTCTAGGACAGAGGGGAAAAAAAAACCAAAGGCTGTTGCCCAGGAAAATTGTAAGATTAGTGAGTACATCTCTACATACATGTTTGTGTATGTAGACACATTCAAATGTATATACATAAAAGGACGAAGCTGGCTTAAAAAAGGGAGAGGATTCACAAGTTTCTAAAACCCAAGGGTATTTTACACTGGAGCCTAATGGAGGAAAAAAAAAGCAAAACCAAGGCAGGTCATACAGACATCAAGATAAACTACATTGCAGTCAACAGCAAAAGGCAGGTGGGCAACATAAGCCTGTCTGACAGGCCTGAACGCTGGAAAAAGGGAAGACTACTGAAATTAAAGCAGAGGAATCCACTCCCCAACCCGCACCAAGAAGAAGAATAAAGGAGAGAACCAAGATGAAGAGACACAACAAAAAATGGTCAGACAATATGTCTAAAAATTAAAAAACGTATATATCTTGCAATTCTAATTTTAGGAATTTATCCTAAGGAAATGATGATAAGTCAATAGTTTTAACTCGAGTGCAGCGTTTACAATAGTGAAACACCACAGGGGATTGACTACAGTCACACAATGGACTATTATACGTCTCTTAAAAATGATGGAGTAGAAGGGTATTTGTTAACATGGAAATCTGTTCATGCTATAATGGCGAATAAATATGCTTTTTAAAAAATGTATAACATAATTATAGGTATGTTAATTTTTCTACAATGAACACATATGAATTCCATAATAAAAAATGAAAGAAAGCAAGAAGAAAAGAGCCAGAGGCCCTGAAGCAATAAGGAGCTGTGTTCACTTAGGCCTTCAACAATGGACAGAACAACTGGGCACTCTGTCCAGTCCTCCTCTAAAAGCTAGTTTTGCCTGCCCACTTGCATCCTGCTGTGCAGGAGTTGAGGGTATGGCTGAGCTCAATAACCTGCCTGAACAATCAAGACTTTGTGGCTACAAACATTTTGGACTGTTCCTTGTCACACCCAGGAAACCCAGGTTGCTGGTTCTATTCCAAGGCTATTAAAGGCAAGACCACATGGTTATTAAAAAAAAAAAAAAAAATTACCTTTTTTTGGGTCCTAATTACAGAAAAAATAGGGCCCTGGTGGCGTAGAGGTTAAGAGCTCGGCTGTTAACCAAAAGGTCGGCAGTTCAAATCCACCAGCTGCTCCTTGGAAATTCTACGGGGCAGTTCTACTCTGTCCTATAAGGGTCACTATGAGTTGGAATTGACTCGATGACAATGGGTTTGGTTTTCAGGTTAATTACAAAAATAATACGTAATAATCTAGAAATTTTATGACACATTGAAAAGTAGAAATTAGAAAATAAAAACCATCACCACCATGAGATACTGAGTTAACAATCTGGTGTATCTTCTTTCAGGTCCTCCACTATACACCCACTCATACACTTTCTTTCTTTCCATTTATAAAAATGTGATCCTATACATACTATTTTATTTTATATCTTTTCATCTGATACAGTCAGTAACACATTCCCAAAGCAATGAATATACTTCTACATAATTTTTAATGGCTACAAGATAGCTCAGTGCATGGACACACTCACATTTACCGAATTTATTCCCTATTATTGAACATTTATGCTGCTTCCAATTTTTTCGGTAATACAAAACACAATGAACATCCATGTACCTAAATTCAGGTACCTGTGCTATGTCGAGATGTCTTACACTCTGAACTGTGAATCTAAACTGCCCCTCCAAAACATGGGCTGCACTGCTGGCTGGCCGAGACCAGACATGGTACTTCATATTGTGTTCTGAATTCTAAAAATTTCCCACTAGAATCAAGATTTTGTGGAAGGAGGGACCATATTAGGACTTATGATCATCCTGGATTTAAGTGACATAATTCTTTACAAGCTTTATAGCTAGCAAAATCCAGTAAACTGATTTCTAATCCCTGGTTCTGGAGGTCTCTGTTAAAAACTGAAGTCCTGAGGGTCAGTTGTGGTAAAATGCCAAGTGATGCCATTCAATCAGAAAAATAAAAGGATAAAACAAAAGGATTGGCCTACTAGTCTGAATTCATACAAAATCCTAATTTCTTCCTATGGAAGATGGAAACTGATTTCTATAGTAATCAAGGATGCTAATAGTTAATGTAGAAATTATTCAGAAAAGAACAATTTCTATACAGGACAGCCTCAACTCTTCTTTCCCTGATGGCATTTCCAGGTAGAAAGTTCTTACTAGAATTAATAGGAAGCCTTATCTCTAAATTGCAAACTACTGGAAAGCAGAGATTGTAATTACATATCTGATACATTAAGAGATTATAAACTTTTAAGAATAAGTTATTACAACAATAATATAATCCCTTTTCTCTCACTCTTTATTTCCTGAGCATTATAACCCAAAGACACGGTTGTCTATTTGCTCACTGACAAGCAGGATCTCTCCTTGGTCTTATTCTGAGCTCCAAAAAATTCCTTGTGTGAATGGGGTGAGTAGAGAACTCCTTTTGCTGCATATCCTAACACTGCATTATTGACCCCCTACTACACTCCTGGAGCCCTGGTGGCGCAGTGGTTAAGAGCTTGGCTGATAACCAAAAGGTTGGCAATTCAAATCCACCAGCTGCCACCTGGAAACCCTATGGAGCAGTTCTACTCTGTTCTACAGGGTCACTGTTAGTTGGAACTGACTCAACGGCAATAGGTTTGGTTTGGTTTTGGTTTTTACTACACTCTTTTCCCCCAAAGAAGATGTGTAATACACAACTGTGTTCAATCTTTTCAACAAACAAGACAAGCCATAAATGTAACTGGAAAAGGCCACTTTCACCATTGTTTTTAAGAAAAAGCAAGGTTTGTTTGGCTGAAATAACATTTTAAAAAGGGAGTATTCATTGCCAAACAATACCAATAATAATGGAAATTAAAGAATGCAAGAACACTCAGAATTCTATCTTTCTTTTCAAATCTGTTTTTCATTTGTTGGGTTCCTCAATCACATGCATATACAACTGCACATGCTATAATCAGCAGAGACAGAGTTCTGTATTTCGGTTAATCAATCAAATGTTTTGCACATTATTACAGTCTTCATAATTATGTTACCGTCTACATAATACACAGATCTGATTTACCATAATTTACTTAAGTATTCTCCTATTGTTAGCATTTAGACAAGACAGAGTCCAATGATTATTTTGCTGAAAAAGGCTCTTCTCTTCCTGGGGATAAATTCCTAGCTGTGAAAATATTAGGTCAAAGGCTATAACATTGTTAGGCTCTTCACTCAACAAACAATATACATAGATAATACAAAGTGACTTTATGAAACTTGTTGGTATAAATGTGGGTTTTTTCTACATGTTTATATATTAGTCTCCTCCTAGAAAACGAAGCCAAAGCTTGAAAACTAATGGCCTAAAATAACAGACCTAAAAATCTCTCACCTTAAGTTTTCATGTGTGTTAAATGAGATCAGGAATAGGTCAGTAAGGAAAATAACCATTTGTCAAGGGCATCTTCAAAGTGCAGAAACAAGATTTAATTGCACTTAACTGGCTACTATACAGATACAGTGAATCCTGTGAATTCGGTGGGACTGCCTTGCTCTTCCAGGCCTCACAAGTTTTCTGCTTTTGACATGGTGTAGGTCTTATCACTTTTCTATCACTCTCTGTTAGTGGAAAATATTTGAGTTTTCCTTCCCCGACAGATTTCTGCCTTACACAGGTTCCAGCTTTTGCAGGTTTTACTGTATAAACCAATATGCCTATGAGGAAACTCTTTCAGATCCATTAAACC